CCTTTGCTTTGGAATGCTTATTTGTTGTCTCTTTCACTTAATCTATTATCTTTCATTGTATTAAAATCTCCTCCTATTCCATTACATTGGTACTCTCTGGCCTTGCAGCAGTGATTTCTGCCATGTGCTTTCTACGTTCATTTTGATGTCGAGACCTTCTCAGTGACAGGCTATAGAAAAAAACACCAAATCATTATTTCTAAGAAACCCTCTGCAGCTGAAAATCATCAGCGGCAATTCTCTATTCATCTAATCCCTGACTTCAAGATATCATCAGATCAAAGCCAACCACTCAGCCACATCATACTGGGTATTTTCATTTCCAAAGGAAATACCGCGACTTGCAGAGCAGAAAATCCCCTGTATCTTTCTGTAAAGTACCGCAGATTGAGACACAATTATGGCTGTGAAAGGAGGGGAAAGAAGATAAACTTCCAACCCGCTGCAGAAATGGGACTCCTGCCTTCTATGCTCTTGCCATAGAGCCTCTGCTTTCTTCCAGGAATTATAATAAAAACTTGCTTTAAAAAGCAGTTTGACTCTTTAAACAGTGTTTTTGATAAAGGCAGCATTATCATCCCAGGTACAAATTTCTATTGGTGGAAAGTTAAACGCCATTGTCAGATGTGAACTACAGAAATTTGTTTCAACTGAGCAAGTTTTGTTACGCTTTTTTGTTTTCTATGTGTAAATAGACACATTGATTTTCAAGCCACATGAGATCACCGTAATTGTTTTTTTCTGACTCTCTGTAACACCGATTATAACCAGGCATGAATTAATTCCTCTTTGAATTACAGGCTATATTTCAGTTGAGAGAGCCTATTTTGATTTAAACAAAGCCAGTGATGGAGAATGCACGACCGCATTTACTAAATCATTTCAGTAGTTAATAAACCCTGCTTAGAAAAATTATAATCTCCTTTCTTCCCTGAATTTGAACAGCCTCCCCAGGACGCCGTTATACCTTTGTTTTTCTAGGTTGAAGAGCCCATTACCTGGGTTTTGTTCCCTGTGTGGGTGGCAGGCCATGATGATACCTGCCCTTTTCCTGGGCAGACTGAACAGACCTTGTATGAACAGGTTTTCATTTCACCTGCTCCAGGGAGCCCTAGCAGAACTGAGTAGCACTGTTCAAGAGAAAGTCCATTATCCATGCATAAACCACTGATGCAGTCCTAATGGCTTTTTCTTTGTGCAGCTATTGCATGTACTTAAGCAATGGTCAGGCTTTACAGGCCATGTGAAATAAATTACTCCTTGCATCCCAACCACAGCTTCTTGCTCCTTACTGCCATTTAGGCATGTCTGACACCACTAACCTATGTCCTCTCCTTAACGTATGTCAGTCACAATAATGTAGGTCAAAAAACCAACCCACAGAACAACAGTTAAAAAACAACAACACAACAACATACTGTACAGAGTGTTAAAGGCTAACCTAGGTGATGGTGACGGAATAGGGACAGAGAGTGATGATGTGAGCAGTTTTACTGGGTCAGTTGCAGTCAGCGTTTGAGCTCAGCCAAAACTTCTCCTCACAGTGTTGTGCACTGAGTATGTTTCCCTTTAGCAGCCCTCATTAGCCACCATTTTTTCTCTCAGTATTTATAGCTGACATATTCTTTGGATTGGTTGACAACAAACCTCACCAGGTTTCTGCCCACACACTTGTGTTGGAACCCATGGCTTTCACTGTGCTTTTTGGTCTCCCCGGAGGAACCAAAATCATTTTGCTTCATCTTCAGATTTTTTTAATTCTTTTATCCATTAATTAAGAAAAACACAAAAAAGCACCACCACATGATTCTTTGATGTTCTTAGGCTATCACCATTCTTAAAATTGATCATCTATTTGTAATATTCTTTTACAACTTTCTCCTTCAGTGAACTATTTTATAAATCCTTGTCAAATTTTGTGGGGGTTCCCAGTGGTCCATCCATGGAAAGTATTGAGATCTGTAACCCTTGATGCTGCCAGTCCAGGAGATGGCAGGGCTTGCTGAGAAAGCTTTAAAATACGTATAAGTTGTGCCAGGGGATATTCAAGTCAGACATCAGGAAATACTTCTCTGAGAGAGTGGTCACGTACTGGAATGGGCTGCCCAGGGATGTGGTGCAGGCAATGTCTCTGAAGGTGTTCAAGAAACCTGTAGATGTTGTACTGAGGAACCTACTGGTTTAGTAGGAACTATTGGTGATAGTTGGATGTTTGGACTGGATGATCTTAGAGGTCTTTTCCAACTTTGGTGACTCCATGCTGCCTTCAGAGGTCATTTAAATCAAGGCATGGTGTTCATCAGTCTCCTTTCAGCAAATGGGATGGTTACTTTCATCTTGTAGCTCCTTTTTCTTTTCAGTTTCTTCAGAACTGGAGCCCTAATGTCATGGTTCAGAGCATAAGCTTTTAGGAGAGGTTATAAAGAACTCTTAGAAAGACCCATGTCATGTGTTACCATACCAGAACTGTTAATACAGTGTCTTCACCATCCTTTTGCCATCACATGAAATATAGAGAGAATTAACTGGAAAGAATGACATTCTATTTTTGTTGTTTTTTTTTTAATTATTAGTTTGTCACTTACCCAGCTAGCACACAGGTCTGTCAACAGCTGCTGGCTTTGCCAAACAACTCTTGATCTCCAAGTTCTTTGGGATTTACCTGCGCATTCATCACAAGCTCTCAAACTTTGAGTCTGCTCAGGATTTCTCACTCCAACAAAGTACAAGAGTAATATCAACATTGCCCATTTAAGTCAACAAGATGGCTTCTGGATTGTGCTTACAGATCTTAAGCCAAACATAAATGCTTTTGGAAACCTCAGGAATGCAGATGTGAGTTTAGAGCTGGAAAAGATTAGAAACTTCACCTGTTATAGGTGCTACTGCACTTTCAGTGTCTTATAAAAACAAATTAACCTTTGGTTTGACTTAGTAGGCTTTGTTATGAAATGTGATGTGACTGCTTTTGTGTCTAAATTTACTACACTTTAAGCCAGCAATTGGTTTGTGTCTGTAATTGCTAATCTTTCAGGCAACATTTATTAGAAACAAATTAAGTTATTCCAAACTCTGGTGATTTTATGATCATATAGATCAATATAAATCACAGTTAATTAAGCTCTTTGTCACTTAGGTTTTCAATATGAACTGCACTGCAGCATTGCAATAAGTAATAACCATAGCTCTTTGTACAAATTATCATATCTAAACAGAATTCGGGTTACAACAACAGAGGATGAAAACTAGACTTTATTTAAGTTGCCCGCCACACAGGGATGATGATAAAATGGTGTAAGCTGATAATGTTTAACTACACAAAAAAAAAAAACCAAACCAAAACAATTAGAAATACGAACAGGGTTTGAAAAAAAGAAAAAACTACATGCTGCACCACCCTCCCCCAAATATCCAAATGAAAGCTACTTTTGAATCTTTGTTTCCTTTCCAATTGCTATCAGAGTTTTTACAGGGTATAATTCTGGCTGCACTAAGCAAAATCCCTCGGCCGGTGAAGACTGCAAGTATTGCTCAAGATGGCCAAGCCAAAATGTGCAAAAAACATATTGTCTGGGACACTTGTTTTCTTTCAGATAAGAATTGTCCATTAATACATTTCTCCTTAATTGGCACTAACACTCCTCTTAAAGATTTCAATATTGAAACAAGATAGAATTTACCAATATGCAATTTCCAGTGACCCTCTCAATCACTGTCTGCTTCTCTTGCTATAGGCAGCTAGCACTATCCAGCAATACTTCTAAATGGCAATAAAGGTGATGTAATGCATATGTAGAGATCTTTCAGGCTTGGCCAGCCTGAACTCAGATGGATGCCTTCTGTATGTATCCCAGCATACATACTGGCTTGTCTGGAGTCAGTGAAATTCTACTAATGATTTCAGAGGAACTGGAATTCTATCTGTCAAATTTCTTTAGACTCTGTGCGTTGTAGAGCACACTGGCATCTTCATGCAGAAAGTGTCTGTTGAGAGTAATACAGGGAAGTGCAGGGAAAACTATTTCTTTATGTTATTTATTGTCATAACACAGTATGTTATCTCTTTGCTTCTTACCTTCTCTGTAACATGTAAGGGAAGAGTAAATATTACTAAATCATGTGACACAGCAGGAGAAAAGCTTTATGATGCACAATCCCCTTGTGATGTCTGGCAAAAAGGTAAATCTTGATGTTGAGCCAGCAGTGTGCCCTCACTGCCCAGAAAGCCAACCGTATTCTGAGCTGCATCAAAAGAAGCGTGGCCAGCAGGGCGATGGAGGTGATCCTGCCCTTCTGCTCTGTGCAGGTGAGATCTCACTTGGAGGAACGCATCCAGATGTGGAGTCCTCAGTACAGGAGGGGCGTGGACCTGTTGGGGAACATCCAGAGGAGGGCCACAGAACACCTCCAATGTGAGAACAGGCTCACATTGAGAGAGCTAGGGCTGTTCAGCCTGGAGAAGAGAAGGCTGCGAGGTGACCTGATAGCAGCCTTTCAGTATATAAAGGGAGGCTATAAGAAAGAAGGGTACAGATTCTTTAGCAGGGTCTGTAGTGATAGGACAAAGGGAAATGTTTTTTTCAACCTAAAAGAGGGGAAAATTAGATTGGATGTAGATAGAAAAAGGTTGTTACAATCAGGGTGGTGAAGCACATGCACAGGTTGCCCAGGGAAGTGCTGGATGCCCCATCCATGGAGACATTCAAGGTCAGACTGGACTGGGCTCTGAGCAATGTAACCCAGCTGTAGATGTTCCTGTTGGGACAGGAGGGGCGTTGGACCAGGTGGCCTTTAAAGGTCCCCTCAACTCAAACGATTCTAGGTTCAGTGTTGGTCTGCATCCCAGCCCCTAACCAGTACCCGCTGCTCTATCCTCTCTAGGGCCCTGAATAAATACCTCATCCTGGGCTGTGTAGCTCCATTAATCATTTATGAGGCTGGATTGGCCTGTGAAGAAGTGTTTCTAGGCTGCTGAGTTCAAGCAATAGTGCAACGCACAGGGTACAGTGTAATCATTCTACAGTGCCAACCATCACTGCTTTATGTAACACATGGCTGGGAACATCGCTCCTGTTGGTTTAATTGACTCACTGGAGAAGAAACAGGCAAACACAAGCTGATAACATGAACCACATCTACATCGGTGGTGGCGCATGCAGGGTAAGATTTCAGCATCTCACAAATGTTGTTTTACTCCTTTTCTTTTAAATGGAGTTGGAATAAACCTGAAGTTTAGTTTTCTTTCCCCTCACTTCTCTTATTTTTATTACATGTAAGGTTTTTCCTTTATTATCTGTAGCACATATTCCTTTTATTTCTACTTTTAGACATTACATTTGGAATTTTTCCTTCCTGCTTTCCACAAGCAATGGTTCGTCAGGCTCAGACCGGTAACATTTGCACATGCACCCCACTCTGTATTTGAGATGGGAATTTATCTTAACAATGATTTCTAAACAGTCAGTGGATTATTCCAATGAAAGGAAAGTAGAATGGTAGAGACCCATCAAAAATCCAGAAACATTTCTGTTTCTGCTGTGGCCATTTCTGGAACAGAATTCCCACTAAATCATCATGGCACTTAAAGAAGTGAAAACTGCCTGATATGTTCCCCTGAAACATTGCTGTTGAATGACACTGCCCCGAGGGACTGGAAAAATTGAGAGACATCCTGACATTAAGAGCTCTTGCTGGGGATGATGGCTTTGGTAAAATTTGCTTGATAGCTGATTGCTAGCTGCTGCTCTCTGACATTACAGTTTGTATCAATACGTGGCATACAGCATTTGTTTATATGGAAGCTTTAGAAAACAGCAACTTCTGATGCAATCTCGAGCTGATTCCAGAAGCAAAGCCCAAGAAATTATACTGTTTCGGGACCACCAGCTGTTTGCAGCCTTGGACACACTGAGATACTTTATGGGCCGTCATTTCTGTGGTAGTAATGAACTCATAGGATTTTAAAATACATCATTTTATTATTCAAAAAAAAAAACCCCAACAATTTAATCAAATTTTATCCTCTTGTTTTTCTCCTATGGACGCTGTCCCACAGGCTCACAGTGTACACAGCAGCAGCCCACCTCTTGCTGTGGTATGCTGGTAATTAAAGAATATTCATAAACTGATTACAAGGCATGCTTTCTTGATATCCATCAACTCAACAGCCTTTCTTCTTGCCTTGAGAAACAGGCTTCATAAAATAATAAAGTGGGTGCTGGGACCAGTTCAGAAAAGAGAAAGATGTTTTGAAATCCTTTATTTCAAATGTGATTTTAGCAGGTGGGAGTACCACACTGACACTGTTCAAAAAAGCTGACAAAGATCACTAAAGAGGAAAAAAAAACTAAACAGCCTTTCCTCAGATGTTACAAAAATGTCACATTTCATAGGAACGCTTTCAAAGTGGAAGATGTGTCCTGTCCTGATGCATCAGTTGCATAATATTGTGACATTTACATTCTAATGATAACTAAACTTTGATCTTTGGGAAATTATAGAGCAAATCATTTGCTGCGATTTTGCCACCTCCCTGCAGGAACTTGATGCAGCCTGCAAGCCTCACAAGGGTTATGCAAACAGAAAAAAAGAAGGTAAAATATTGGGAAAGGTGGCTGTTTGTATTGTGTGTGCACAGAGAAGTTATGGGGATTAGCCAGGTTGAACGCTGGGGTTTGAGAGACGATAGCTGCACAAAACCAGTGCAAACACTTTCCTCTGCTTAGGAGGAGACGGAGCTGAAGATGTAAAATTAAATCTCTCTGTCTGCTACTAACAGTGGCTCTTGGGAAATTTGGAGGCTTAAGGAACTGATGAAATTTGGCTTTTTTTCCACAAAACCCCACCGCAGAAATAGCAGTCGGCAGCACTACCACTACACTACCACAGGAAGGAAAGCTTGGGAACACCTCCTTATAGTAAATGGCATAACTCTGACTATGGCTTAGTGCAGTATTGCCAGTGCTGTCCTCTGAGCAAGGTGGAGACTGTGGGGTTTACATACTAATGCAGGGTGTGCTCTCATTTGTCCTAATACACCCAGTTCAATGATTCATCAGGCGCAGAAGTATTTGCCTTGCTGGTGAAGCATTCGGATGCTGCTTGAAAGCAAATTCCCATTGTGCAGTGGAGCCATTGTTCATTTTCTCTCCCATAAAGCCAAGAAGAAAACACTTTTCCTTCACAGATTTTGCTCCAAAAAGCCTAGCAGCTACTCAGTTTTAAGGGATTATAGTATTTGCTCTGGAGCATTGGGAAATGGCTGCACTTAGTGCAGTAGGAAAGAGAAATCGTACCTGGGCTGGCACTTAAGTGGCTTAGTGGCTGATCCTGGTGGCAAACCCTGTGGCTCAATGCTATGTTAGTAAGCAGGCTCCATACAAAAGGGGACATTAGGGTAAGGTAACAGCTGGAGCACAACAGCATATAGCCAAAGGATTTTTTGGCCATGGTAATTGTCTGCACCATAACTAGTGCGTGCATTGTTGTGCTTCTCTGATCCGAAGAAGCTTTTGGGTAAACTAAGGTCTCCCAGAGGCAAAGACCTTCTGCCCCAAAAGAGATTTCACCAGCAGTCCTTCAAAATGCCATGTGGGACAGAAGTAACTAACTTCCATGGATTCAAATCTGAGCAACATTTAATAAAGTCAGCTATTCCCTGGAAGTTTCACTGTAGGAAAGCATCTTACTGGTGCCAGGGCACTTGAGAGAGATAGTCTTTGGTATAATTTTCCAGGCCCAGATTATCAAGTGATATATATGGTGTGTATTCCAGTAATTCAATAATGCTGTTCATGTACATCTTTCCAATGGTACTGATGTGGAGAAAAATATCTGCAGTGAAGGAAACGTGGTTTTTACTGGTAGAATTCTCTCATAAGCTATTCAAACAGTAATTCTACGCAATAATACAATATTACAATACATAGAAGAATGCAAGTCTCAGGTCTGGAACTGAAACATGCTTCCTGTGATTGGCTCGGAGTTCTTGATTAAAGGTTAGAAGACAGTGTTTTTGTACAAAGGCAGATTTCCATAAGACTAAATGCAAACTGTATAAATTATTGTTGGTTTGCTTTATTTAAATAACATTCAGTCAATTAGTGTTTTATATTTAATTACAGTAAATAGCAATTCATTATTTCAAATAGGTTTAAAGCCTAATAGGCATCTCCAGAGCAAATACCCTTCTTTTGTGCACAAAACTGCTTTCAGTTTCTCAACCTTTTGTAATGTAAGCACAGGAAAAAGAATGAAAACATGTATAGAAAGGCAGATACACCAGAACATTTTGTCTATTCATTTTGTACTGGATAGTCAATATGACAAGAAAAATTAAAGTGGGATTTAGAGACACTTTTTTTTTTACCTTGTAGAATGAAGAGCTTTCAGGATTTTACTTTAATTACCTTCTTGTTCAGTTTTTCCTTTGTTGTCTAAAATCATCAATGAGACTTTTGTCTTCTATTTTCTATTGCTATAAATCTCTTGAGCAAAATTGCTGCTTTAGTGTATGAGCAGAATAGAACTGGAGACAAAAGCACAGAAATGTTGAGGCAACAGATCCCATTAAGAAGAGAGTGGGAGAGAAAGAGAAAGAAAGTACATCTGGCTGAAGAAACATTTCTAAATATTTCCATTTCTTTCTCCCATAGAAACTCCCTGACCTCTTCCAGGAAGGCTTCCCAGATCTGCTGTGAAGATAGTAGGGTGGCAGATGCAGGGAGAGGCTATGGGCCTCTGCTCCACTCCCCTGCTTATCTGTGACACAGGATGATGCCACAGCTCCAGCCTCTTCCCATTCCCTTAACCACCTCCCACTCCTAACCTATCCCTAAAGAAACTTCTGAGCTCTCCACAAGAAAAGATCTACAGGAAAAAGGACACTGGGGAGATCTGCTACCAGATTGCTGGAAAACACTGCTGGGATTGCTAGGATAAATCTCTCACTGCAGAAATGCTGTGGCAGACCTCTGAACCTGCTTGAAAAGCTTTGCACAGATCCCAGAACTCTGCTGTGAAAAGATTCAGTTTTTAAGAGACAGGATTTCTCATCTGGTCAAAGGTCTTCATAAAAAGCTTCTGATCAGTTGTGGAAAAGAAAATACTCATTAAGAGAAATTATAAGTTAGTCAACACCTAACAAAGATATGTGGAAAAGAAATGCAAGGTGAGGTCTTTTTAATCTCCTAGTTATGTTTTTAAATTGCGTTTCTAATACGGGGTGGGGGGAGCAAGATCTGTGAAGTTTCTCTGGTATGTAAAAACCCCAAGAATCTGACACACCTTGATGATTTTTAATATGAATGCAAATAGCATTCCTCTGGTCCAAGTTGTTCGTTTTCTAAGTTTTTAATGGGTTTGGCCTCTGGGTCCTTTATTCTGGAGCAACTCTAGTGCAGAGAATAATAGGCTTCCCTCCAGTTCCACTGAGCCCCAGGAGATTATTTTCACCTGCTACAGCAGCCCCTGCCATGCCTGTGAGCAGCCCTAGCTGATGCTCTGTGCTCAGTGGCATGCACCCAACAGCAGCCACAGCTCTCAGGCATTATTATGCTCATCCACTGTGTTTGCCCAGGAAGAGATTTTTATCTGGAATGCCATTGATTCAGGTTCAAACAGTAGATGCAACAGAGAATTTTAGACTTGTAATTTGTTGTCTCTGTGCTTTATGTGGAAAGAGCCATTGGGTCTGGGCTCTGAGACACCTGATGTAGCTGTAAGTGAACTTTAAGCTCCCCTTCCTATTCAGATGATTCTATGATTCTATGTTTTTACTTGCTGGTTCTATGGTTGTTGGTTGGTTGTACGTTGGTTGTACTAACTATGGCTGTACTAATCTGCTGAGGTGTTCAGAAGATGATAGGACTGGATCCATCCATAAAAGATTTAGTAGAGTGCTGTCAGTTTCTATGTAATGTCTAAGAGAATTTCTGTTGGTAGAACTTGAGTTGGGGCTTTAAAAGTGTTGGACCATGGTGTTTCTCTGCAGGCTCAGAAGAGCAGGTCTCAGGCTTCAAGGTGTAAGTAGGCCTTTCAGCTTCCCATGCTTACTAGCTGTCTGCCTCTGGCTGGCAGAAGTGCATTACAGAACACTTTTGCCTAGAAAAAAAAAAAAAAAAAAGCCTCTGCAGAAGACAAGATTTAAACAGGCCAATTCTTATCAGAAGGCTGCAATTGAATTTCGAGGTGAAATTTAATAGCAGCTGCCTTAGCCCAATATATGGCTTGTAAAGTGAAAGTCAGCCAGACAAATATCCACTCATTTCTCTGTCTGTCTATCTGGTATTTATTCCACTTTATGGCCCAATCAAGAGAGGAAACCATAAATACAACGGCGTCTGTGAACTACCTTTCCAGAGAAATCTGGTGCAGGCTGAGCGCTGCCTCTCCATTAAGGCCAGCAACCTTTAGAACTGACAGTTTTCTCTCCTCCGGCATGTACCTTACAAGAGATCCCAGACATGAGGAAACCAAGGGCTGCCATGACCTTGGCCAGCCTGGCTGAGTGTTGATGTGTGTGAAGCCTCGAGAGCAGGTCTGGGGACAAGCTGGTGGGGAAGCCATTGGCACCATGGCTTGCTGTCATTCTATATGAGGTAACAACCAGGAAAGAGGAAATCGGGGAGCCACACCTGGAATATTAACAGCAGGCAATATTGTTCAGAGAGGCCTAGGATATGAGCTGGGCCTAAGGTTGGTTCTTCCATGGCCCATGGTTCTGCCTTCAGAAAGGTGGTGAAGAGCTACTGGGTTGCTAAGCCACTTCCAAGGAGGAACAACGGCTTCTGAAGCAAAACCAGTGAACCAGAAAAGTTATGCAGTGATCTGAAAGGCTTTGTCTCACTTGTGTATTATATCACATCTTCCCTGTAAATATGTGATGCTGTAATGGTAGCTCTGGTACCATGGTTATGTTAATCATGTACCGATAAGTCCCTCAGTGTGCTGTGTGCTCAGGTAAATTGTGCTGATTAGCCCTTCTAGAGGGACTAATGAAAATCACATTAACAGTGTTTAACAAAAAGGTAAATAAGGAAATCTTTTGGAAGTGGGCAAATATTTATCATCAGCCATGTACTGCTGTGAACAAACCTTCTTAGAGCAGCTGCTGATGCCGCTGTCTACAAAAAGCCATACACACAGGTGAGGAGTAAAGCTTGATGCTGATAAAATAGGTAATGTCCGTATTTTGTTTTGTCACTGATGAACTTGCAGTAATTAAACTCCAGGATTAACTTAAGAGAACGAAGTCATTATAAGGACAGTGAATTAAGACCAAATGATTTTGTAAAGCCAGATAACTTCTAATTCAAAGGCACTGGTCAAGTATTTTCATCATTAATATTGCAACTGTAATGCCTTCACCTACTAAAAAGAAAAGTAGTAGGTTGAAGGGAATGAATGAACATGATTGTCTACAATACATTTATATTGGCATTCACCGTAATAGCCTTTGCAAGATTAAGAGAGGATTGGTAATCTGCTTGCATTCACTGATGTTGTGATAACAGAAAGCGACATTACTTCCTTTGAAAACCTATGCAGTGCTTTTTCTTTTAGAATAACTGCAGAATAATTCTGCAAGGAGTTTTGGAGTTGTTTCATGATGGAAGTTACTGAGGAGCGGTACACTCGTAGCTGGAGACGATTCTCCTTATAACTACATGGCTACATCCCACAGACAACTTGCCAACATTAAGGAATCATTTGTCAGAAATGCATGGAAGCATCAGCCTAGAATGGTGTACAAGCAAATTTAAAAAACGTTTTATAACACAACCTTTTACAAGATGTACAGACTTTAATTTAAAAATATGTAGCTTATTATCAGTAATAGCAGTGTCTGATGTTTCTTGAGAGTACTATAGCACTAACTTCTCCTTTTCTATAAGATGAATTTTTGAAATTGATTACAACATCTGTTGACCTGCACAGTGGCAACTTCATTTTTTAAGCTGCTCTTTTCCAAGATCAGAAGAAAATCTCCCTTTCCCCATCTACACTACTGCACTGCTGGCGTAGAGCATCAGTGACAGGTAGCTTTTCCCATTTCCCTCAGACATGAATCCCAGTCATTACCAAATGCAGTAGTCCTGATTGGATGGTGGAGGGTAGGATAGGAAGCTTGTTTGATCCACCATAGCAAATCCTCTGTTTAAATTGGGAATCTTCCAAATTCCCATCATCTGTGTCTCAATACCGTTCCTGTATACTCCCAGATGAAGGAAAACATATCGCATCTTTGCATGTTTAGCTAAGAAAAATCAGTTAAGTCACCAGAGAGATAAAGTTGTTGATATAGATAGCAATTTTGCATTATAATTTGAATACTGGACTCAGAAAAGAGGATTCAAAACAGTAGGTTTTTATCTGCTATCTTGGGATGCTGTAGGAGGGCAGCAGAAACCAAACAGCTGGAGTATGTGGGTTTTCTCTTCACTTGAAAATCCCTTTATTGAAGAGGGAGGAAAATCTGCGTATCTGATGAAAAGTATGTTTGTGTCTAATCTTGAAATAAATGAAAAACAATCCATTGCTTTGGTAAAAGTTTTCTTCTGTACCTCTGCCAAGGTCGCTGAATGCATTCATCCAGAGAGAGAACAGACCTTGAAAGGGAGCAGTTCTGCTGTTGCACCATAGCAGCTCTCATAGGACTCAAAAGGGTGAGAGAGTTTTCTTATAATTACCAAAGCATTAAATAAAACTAAAACTGTTTTCAAATACTTGGCAGTTCAAGGTCTCACCAACCTAGAAGGGGTCTGGCAGTACCTGAGAGATTATTGCAGACAATGAGTCAGCATACCCGTGCTCATTTCCCAAGATCCCAGGTCACCTAATTTCAGAGATCCCACTGTGAGCTTTCTGTGTTGCAGTCTTTCTACAACTGGGCTTGTTGTCAAGCTGTTTCAATTCAGGTCAGTCTGTTCTCTATTTTTCTCAATTTCTGCCTTAGAGAGAGGTGCCATTGAACAATTCAGAGTGCATGCATGGGTTAAGTACTTCAAACGTATTCCTCTTTGCAGCCAGCACCCTTCACCTGAAGTAACCCATACTATTTCAGGAGTTTTGTTGGGATATATAAACAGCAGGGTTTCAAAACATAAAAGCTTTGCTAAAAAATAGTTCTGTTTCAACGCATCCAGGCTGTTTCCTACAGGCAACTGCCAGAGTGCCTGCCAGCACATCTGCCTACCTGCCATAGTCCTCCAAACACCAGACAGACATATAGAGATGAGAGCTGTAGTCTCAAAGCAGTGTCCTAGGTCTGTGGTGGGCAGCATGAGGACCCCGAGTACTTCAGCCGCTTATCTATGGGCTACTTGGAAGTCCTGGTGTTGCTGCACTGGTGAAGCTCTCAGGTTGATTGGTTGTGGAGAAACTGAAGGTAATTCAGATCAGGCTCATTCGATCAATGAAGAGGAGGCCAAGGGGCAATCTAATAGCAGCCTACTTCTTCTCAGAAGGCACTTACAAAGACAGTGGGGTAAAATTTTTGATAGTGACCCTTTGACAACAGGAAATGGCCACAGACTCTGGTTTGGGAGGTAGAGAATGGACATTAGGATAAAAGGCTTTACTAGGGTGATAGTGCAGTACCAAAGCATGTCGTCCAGCACGGTTGTAGAAACTCCATCCTTGGAGGTTTTTGATATTTGACTGGGCAAAGCCATGGATAACTTAATTTTGTGTTGGTGATAATCCTAAAAACCTCTTAGTAGGAGGTTGAATACCTCTAGAGGGTGTCTTCTCACCAACACTTCTGTAATTCTGGGGTGATCTGAATGCTTGTAGGAGTCCCAGTCTACAGACAAAAAGGATCACAGGCACAAACAACTTATTATTTTCCAGAAAAATATGATTCATTCCAACTTCTTCTCCCAGGACAGCCATGTTATGTTATTCTCTCCTTCCTTAAGCGGCACACTTATTGACTTCCCTCTCTGTGAGAATTTATGAGGTTTGTTTTGGCTTGCAACAGAAAGCATTTGACATATGCAGGCTTCCTGTGGAATGGCATGAAAGGTGTTGGTCAGCCTCAGTAAATCACTGCAACAGCCAGGCAAGCAGTGAAGACATGCAGGTAGGGAGCAGGAGCACTGTGACTGCCAACACAAGCCCTGCTGTTTGTGGCTGCACTGTTTCAGCAGACAGGCAGCATTTCTAGGCTTTTCTCCCTTCAGTCACTTTAGATGCTCAGGGTGGAATTGCTCTTACCTTTCTTGTTCTAGGAGGGAAGTTGGAGAACCAGTCTTGCTATTCTCTTGTTTTTTTTTTTTGCTGCAGAATCACATAGGGTTGTCCTCCAAGAATCAAGAGGTTAAGAGTATTTGCAACAGTCTCTGCCAGAAAGCCTTGCTGCTGCCTACACTTTACTTCAAACAAATTAAAGGCTTGCCTTTGATTTTTTATTTTTTTTTTAACCACTCAGCAGCAGCAGCAGCACAATTTGAGCATGTAAAACAGCTCCACTGAGCACACCAGCTGAGTCACTGCTTTTTACCACAAACCTCTCACAGCAGAAGCTGGAGAAATCAATAACGCCGTGCAGCTTAGTAAAACTGCTGAAGCTGTTCAGGGCTCTTATATAGAAACACACCAAGCGTTCATAGTGGGAAAAGCAGCTCACCTCATTAACACTTGAAAAAAGCCTTTAAGTTTATAATCTGCCAGATGCACTGAGGTGCAGTCACTGCGATGAGGGGACAGGTGAAGAAAGATAGGAAGCAAGTGGATGTGCTGGTGCCACAAAGGGGAGAAAGATCAGCTTTAGGTATTTTCACTGAGTATTGGAAGCTGTTCATTGCAGTCTGTGTTGCATCGTGATTCTGAACACACAGCCTGCTTAAGTACACAAATCCTACACAGAGGTAAAAGAGTTCTTCTTACATTGTAATGCTTAGTGGTAAAAAGGCTGGAGTACCCATCCCCTTGCAACTCATGCCATAAAAACTGTTATTTCCATGAAATCATACTTCACTGTCCTGTATAGAAGCAATAATAGTGTGCCATAGCCACTGTGGATTTTGGAACCCAAGATATTCTCTCCACATACACAAAGACAAGAGTCTTACAGATTGCTCAGCCTATAACATTGCTAGCAGGTAGAGTCACGGCTTGGGATCCCAGAGTAGCAGGCTATAGCTGTCTGCAGAGCAACTTGAAGCAGTGAGTATCCTTCCAATTGGCCAGTGGAAGGCATCATGGCACCCTAATGCTGCTTATCTCTCTTTCTTTACTATTCAGATCACAGTTTAGCTGTTAATATCTGAGGAACATATGCAGCACATCCCATATCATACACAGGCCATAGTAGCACTGGTTTTGCTAGGGATGCGGTGACCTTTTAGATTTGACATTTTTGTATTAAAAGAAAATCATTCTATTTGCTTTATATGACATGCAGACATCCTAAAACGATTCCATTTCCCTACTGATTCATGGTATCAGTTCAGTGATCTGCAAGACATGACAATTCTCAGCTGTTAAGAATGAAGCTGTAAATGGTAAAGGATAATCTGATGGTACAATAAAGAGCCAAATAAAGCAGAAACACCCCCCAAACCCTCCTCATAGGCATCTAGATCTGAATAACTTTCCTTACTACCTGTTACTGATAACTTTATTATGTCCTCTCCAATAATTGTGTTACAAGAATCCCAAAATTTGGGGTAAGACCAAAATGAATGCAGCAAGGCAGGAAGAGTGCAGGCATTCTGGCTCATACATACGTATTTCTTTAAGAAAGATTTATCTTACTGCCTTTGTTTTGGGAGGCTAAAATAGCAAACAGAAAACAAAGACACATCTGTAGTTAGTGATAACATTCTCTTCTGTTTAGAGAGAAACAAAGAAAAAAACTCCCTGTGCAGGAGAGACAGGTGCACCAAGGAAAATTCCCAGCCTCTCTCCCTGTAGCCAGAGGGAGCACCAGGCACATCATCTCCAAGGTCTCCAAGCTGAAATTCTGCCCCAAGCAGAAAACATTTTTAAAGAAAGATTTTAGACTTGCTTCCTGCAAATAATGGAGCAACTTGCAGACACTGAGATGGGTTGCCTTCAGCAGCTCTATCACCATGTTCACACCACAGGACCCAGCCAAGAAACTTCCATGAGGCCACCATGCCCACACAGCATGGTGTCCCTTGATAGGGCGCACTGCATCCAATTTCTTTATGCTAGAACCATCTTACAGATAAGAAAAGCAAACTCACAGGTACAAAGGAGGTGGGTTTTTCTATTTTTTATTTTTTATTTGTTTGTTTGTCTCAATGTATGGGCAAGACACCTGATGGCCCAGTAGGCTTTCAAAGTGACTCAAATTTATGTTTTTTCAGACCCACATTTGTGAAGATTGACTGAGCAAAATTTCTTCTCTGTTATTGTGCATTTGCCTGTGAAAGACCATCTTCTGAAAGGTTCTACAGTCTCTCTCCAAACTTCTTTGTTGTACACCTGGAAATGCTTAGTGCATAACTTCTGGAAGCTCAGTGCCATCTGTAACTGATATACAAGCACCAAAGGCTTGTGATAAGGCTCTAGATCCATTTTGGCAGTCCATTTTGGCAGTCACTCTCAACTTATGGTATCAAGACTGGCTGCAGACTGAAGAGATACCACAAGTGCGTAAGACATAATGCACAGTTCAGGATACCTGTGAAATGAGCACAATTATTTTGAAGGCACCCTCATCAGCCACCTAGTGCACAGGATCAATGCTTCAGTGAACTCCCTCAACTCTACCTTCCTACTGCCAGAACATCCCAGGATTTGGAATTGGAATGATTTTCACTAGCTTGCCTAGCAAAGACCAGATCACAGTCATTTGCACCATGGTGAGTACTTAAGGATCAAAAGTTTCTGATTGAACGGTGGAGATGTCCCTGAATAGAGAGGAACTGCAGCACTGGTTGTGGCCAAAAGCAGAGTGTGGATGTTATTTGCACATTTGTCCTGGCTAATTCTTTCACTAAATGAGATTCTTCAGCTATTAACCCACCCTTTTTTTTTAATGTATTCATAGAATATTATCTATTGAATTTTGTTTTACAGCGAATCTGATCTTCAGGTGCAGAGGTTCTTCATCATCAATGGCCTTCCTCTCAGATGAGATTGGTCCTGGTGAAAGGGTGGAGTGGAAGAGGAGATGACTCTTATATGTATATGTAACCAATGCAGGACTTCTCTGCTAAACCTGCTCAGAATGTGCACTCTCCCCAGCTGTGCACATCCTCTGCTAAAACCAAACCAATGGACCCATTTGCCACAGACCAAGTAATCCCTCTCATGAAACAATGATTTCAGCCTGTATCAAAATGATGCAGTTCAGAAACTTGGTAGGAAATGTTGCAGTTCAGTTATCAGACTCCAAACTGTTCTGTAATCAGGTGGATCATCGCTGAAGTCACAGATGGTATTTTGTATTCATATGTGTCAAATACTTGAAAACAGCTACTATATACGTTAGGCTCCCTGAACTGCATCTCTACCACTGAAATGAGAATGTGACCACAGATTTATCTAACAGTGCTGGATTGTCACTTGGAAATAAAACTGTAAAGGATTGATTTGCCTGAACAGAACTGAACCAAAACTGTGTTGGGAAAAGATAATTTCAGTAAAATCGAAAAGAGCTTTTTTGTTGTTGTTGTTGTTCATCAGTGAAATTAACTTTCATTTCAGATTGCATAAAATATTACATTCAAATAAAAAAAATTATGTATTGAGGAACAATTTAAACTTTTTCTGAATAGAATATTCACTAAGCCAAACATCGTCTCTGCAATAGTCACTTCGAAATGAAGTGTACAGAACTGCTCTTAGGAGCCCTTAAATTAAATGTGACTAGTACTTCTACAGGTCAGTGTCTCATTAGAGAAGAAAGCAAGCAAACAATAGTAACACAAAACTGCTCCGTCAAAGAGCAGAGACTTGGAGTCTTACTATCAGCTATTTTCTCATAAAATTGCCTAAAAAACAGAAAAATTCTGAAAAGTGAAAATGTATTCATTATGAAATGATTTTACATTAACTCGATAAACAATAAAAAAATGGTATGAAGATTTTCTGCCCTTTGAGAGATGCAATTTTATTGAATTTAAAATGATAATAAACCATTGAGAGCCTACTGAGCTAGGTAATGAATGTAACACAGCAATTTAAGAGTTCATTTCTGAGGCTCTATAATAGTTTTCCGAGTTTTGGTATCTTAGTGGGGTTTTTATGCTTGTGCAATTGCAGTAATTGAAGTAGATTATAAAAATGATTCTCATGCAGACCTTTCCGGCAGGAAAAAAAGAGATGGAATCTGAATGATATTTCACCTGGGAAAATACAGAAATCCAATTTTCCTGTAACATAACGGTTAGAAAGCCTCTGCCTGCAATCTCATTATTATAGTGAATATGCACAAAATTTAGATTAAATCTGATACGCTCTCCTGGTTCTCTTCCCATAACCAGTATGGGTAGCGTAGAGCGAGGTACATCTGACATGTCTGAGAGGAGACAGGGATTTGACGGACTCTCATCACCACAGATTCACCAGCAATACATTGTATTAATGTTTTCTTGTAGCAGTATTTGCCACAATTCACTTGACAGGAGAAGATGTGCTGTTGCCCACACCTCATCCAAGCTGTAGCCAAATCTAGCCTGGTCTTTGTAAGGTCTTTGTAAGGGGAATATACCATGGGAATACATAGAGATGCATAGGCACTTGCATTTTAAATGGTGAAGAAAGTGTGGAAGATTTTATGTCAATGCTAAAGACAGGAATTAAAATAATTATAATGCAGGGGCCTAAAGAGCCCTAACAGCAAATCTGCCCAGATGAAAAGATGACATTAGCAGGCTAAAGGAGGACAACACAGCTCTGGGAAGTGCACGATGCTTACATGCAACAGAGGTATTTCATAGAATCATAGAATGGCCTTGGTTGAAAAGGACCTCAAAAATCATTGAGTTTCAACCCCCCTGCTATAGGCAGGGTTGTCAACCACCAGACCAGGCTGCACAGAGCCATATCCAGCCTAGCCCTGAAAGCATCCAGGGATGGGGCATCCACAGTCTCCTTGGGAAACCTGTTCCAGTTTTCTAGGACCTAGTTTTCTAGGTTCTAAGATTGACTTAAGCAAGATGGCAACACCAAAAGCAGAAGGTGCATCTCTTGTTTCTAGCTCTGGCTGGAGATGTTGGATTTGGAAGGAAATGAGTGCTCAGAGACTGAGAGAGTGCATTTGTCAAGATGAGAAGAAAAATGGATTTTGGCAGAGTGTGTTGAGATACTGTGTCAAGCCATGATGATGTGCAGCAAGTGAGAGATGGCAGACTTAGCATCCTCACAGACACAAGAGGTGAGAATTACATGGAAAACTGGAATGCGATAGAAAAGAAGACATAAATAGTGTAAGAGCTTGAGGAAAAAGAAGCATCCAACTGGTGAAAGGTAGCTAGAATATTTAAGCCAGAAGAGCAGAAAGTGGGACTTGTACTTTGGTAATATCACCCACCTATAACAAAAAGGTAGAACAAGCCAGAAAGACAAGGATGCTGCATGTGAAAGAGCTGCAGGAGAATGGAAGGGAAAGGTGAAAAATTAAAAAACCCACACTTTTAACTTGTAGATTGGGTTAGAGGCTTGTAGCCCTTCTGCTTTTCAGCTGTGCTGGACAGGGAATAATATGCTGACGTGCCTTGGAAATGCATAGCGGTATTAATGAGAAAAGTCTGTGTGATCTCAAGTACTGTGTCCCATAAACATGCATCAGCCACATTCCCAGGCCAGCATCTTGGCAGTCTCTGAAACCGCACACAGAAAACACATAAAACCCAGAGAGGTTTCAGTGATGTGTAAACATTCACCACATTTCATTCTGTAAATAAAAATCACGTTTTCTGAGCAACAGTGACCTCTGCAACTGAGGAGCCAAGTCTGCTGATCCACTCGCACACATATGCACAAAGCAACCCTGGCTGTATACGCATTTCTCCCCAGGATAACAGGTTCTCCTGGCCCCACAGCGCACCAGGCACTGCGTGGAAAGGGAGCGGCCATCTGCACACTCCTGATTCTCATCATGATAATAAGCCCATTTTTCAGAACATACTTTGCATGTGAATGCACGTGCCTAGCATTTATATCAGCAGCATACATGGCGTTGTTTGAGCAGTGAGCTCATTAGCACGCCAATGCAATGTGCCACCTGAGCAGGAGGGAGCACACTGAGCAGAACCCAAAGCCTAACCCTAACCTGGTTGAGGGCAGGGTAAGGGTGGCAAACCAAAGCACTGTATCTAGCACCAGGGAGAGACAGACTTTGTATTTGTTATGCATTTTGATTGCTGGTTCTAATAAACTCGCATGGCAAGGCATACAAAGAACAGGTGTGATGAAACACGTGGCTTTCAGCAGAGCTCTGGGGAGCAGCCTGCAGCTGACTCGAGGCATTGGCTGCAAGCACAGAGCCTGGCCTAGGCTTGGTTGCATCCAAAAATCAGATCAAGGGAAGAACAGGAAAGAAGACAGCTGAATTCCTGAAACGGCCTTGACATTTACAAGTCAGTGGGAGAGGTACTGTAATTAAATGTTACTGTTATAGAATGATTATTAAAATATCCAAGAGAACTGACTGCATCTATCATATTAGCATTTGTGACTGAAAATCATGAAAGACTGGTATGAGTTTTGCTAAGCAGACTGAAGCTGTTGTCAGTCGAGGCAGAGAAGAGAGAAAGGAAAGTTTGAATCATGGAGAGGAAATAAGTGTAGAGGTTTGGATCCCCAACAGTTTTGAAGAAAAAGCAACAAAATCGGCAGTTGGCTGAAGTGTATTAGTTAATACCTACCCCTGGTCCAAGGAAAACAAATAATACCCATCAGTGAAAAGTTTGGACTGGTTGAACTCCATGAATGATCTCCTTAGTATTATGTGGCTCTTATTTGCACTAGAAAGACTGTTATCTAGAGAACCCTAGACTGTACCTACATCAGAATAAAAACCATAGCCTAAAAGAGACTGAATTCTTGCAGAGACTTGTTCTGTTTTGAGGGTCCTCAGCAGGGGGCTGAGGGTGATCTAAGTGCTTAGACGCATACACAAACCGCCACAGAAGCAGAAAAGTGCCAGGATTGCTGTTGGCTTCTGGAGCAGTGGGTTGTTTTTGCTAGGGAAACTTGGCCGGGTTTTGTCTGCTTTGAATTAGATATGAGAAGGGAAAACAAAAACAAAAACAAAAACAAAAACAAAAACAACTTCAAATCAATGAGACGCTATCCTACGTAGATCTGTGGGCAGTCAGGAAAACTGTTTCTGTCCCTGCACTTCTGCCTTACTACAAGACATGATTACAGTCTCTGCTGCAGCCAAGAAATGCAATTCAGCTGCATCTGAAACATTAAAAGAATCTTGTAAGCAAATCTTTTCCTCACCATGTACCTGTAATTCCCTGTTCTTCAGGGTAGCTCCTGTTCACAGGCAGCAACTTTTGATGGCTTTGTTTCTCACAAGACTACCTCTCCTTGGAAGAACCCTTTTCTTTCCATTAATATTGAGGTCTGGATGCATGTTTGTCCTCCATACTTTTCTCAAGAGCCTCCAGCCCACTGCCATTGCAGTCTCCCTGCTGGAGCATCTGGATTAGGCATGATTCATACTCATCTCAGGCTCCACAAACCTCCTAACCCACTGCTCTACCCTCAGTGGCAGAGCCCCACCTGCATCAAATGCAGCAGTTCTAATTGGTCTCAGAGCTAAATATACAGGATCTAGAGCAGAAGCAGGATCTAGAAGAAGGTGAACACACAGGTGAAATCTATCACCTCCTGGCCACTCTTTAGTTAATCTAGGAAACTAAACCAACACAAACTCTATAAGGATAATCAAGACAAGTCCACTTCTGCTACAAGCTACCATGTTGTATAGAATAATACAAGAGAGAACAATATATGTCATACAGTACACCACGTAAATCATACAATCTCATATCTCATTCTGAGAACAAAACTAACAGAAGAATAATAAACCTATATTTTGATGCACATATACATGGCAAGGGGACAGGAACAGCATTGCCAGAGAATGCTAGTGGAATTACAGTGCTTGCCTTGTGAAGATGCTAATCTTGAAGTTACAGGAAGCAAGAATAATGCAACATGGAAAAACATGGGTGATTATAAACTTAGCAGAGGTAAAACGAGTAGTGGAAGAGATGGCAATCCAAAGACAAGAAGGAATTAACAAAAAATCAGTCAGAACATTGAACTGTGACTACAACCACTGAAAGCTACCTGGCACCTGAGCATAATGTCACAAGCATAAGAGTGGCGTTGGCCAGTTTCTGCTCACTTGCATGTATACCTGAACACACAGAAGGAAGCTTTCTTCTTTATATTTCATTTTTCTGCATGTAGCTTTTCTGTATGATGATAGCAACACACCTAGGCTGTAATTCCAGCTCACAGGCAATCATCATAGTTGCTTGGTGAAATTTATGCACCTCTCTATACACACCCAAGTTGTCTTGCAATTGCACAGCTTATAGATCACCTCCCAGTTTCAAGCTGCCTTTGGAAATGTTGAAACTCATGAAGTCTGATCGAGTTTGGTATTGTTATTCTCTGTGCTGTATG